TACAGGGATCCACAGAAATATGCCCATGGGTGTCAGCACTCCTGAAAGAAGTGACCTGCTGCAGTGCATAGGCCTGAACACTACAGCTGGTTTTAAAATGGGACCTTCTTGCAGGACTCTGGAGTCTTAAAGATGTCTGGAAGATTTGCAAAAATCATCCATTCAAGTAAAATGCTAAATCTTACAGAAGGTAAAGGGGAAACTCATTTGGATGCTTTAACAGCTCTCCCTTGACACTTCTTTAGAGGTCTAGATACTGCTGTAAATCTTGTCTGATAAGCTTACAGCCACACAGGTGTGATCACAGGTGTGATAGTGCTTCATCAGCAGCTAAAATTAGAGTGCATCTTTGTTTTCTCAGCTGTCTCTGAATTGCTGCTTGCCTATCCATTTAAATTTGAAGAGAAAACTGCCATTTGCCTTGTCCTTGCACTGGTTTAGCAGTGCTAAAGGTTGGTACCTCTAGAGAAAATGGCAGCCTAAGCCTTGGTAGCCAGAGAGTCCAAGCAGACCGAAAGTGTGTCCCTTTCCTGCATGGAGAAGAGAATAGTGATGTCAGCCTCCCAGGCTGAATGAGCAGATGCCCTTTTACAGATGAGAAAATTCAGGATAAATGAGCACATATGCTGTGGCCAATAGCCATTGCTTTGTTCCCAGCCAAGCCTATCAACAACACCATCAAGAAGTTAACTCACAGCTACAGACAGCAGATGCTGAGGCATCCTGCACTCCCTGAAGCCTGTTTATTTCTCACCAAAGGTAAAGCTTGTGCTGTGCAAAACACAAGATTCTGAGACAGAAGATCTCAGCAGGTATGGATTAAGCAAAAGCTGCTGGTTCAGAGAGCACTTGGCTCCTGAGAATGCAGCATAGCTTCTTCTAAACTTTTTTTTTTTTTAATACCTGCCTGCTCAGAATCAGGAGGTATTTTGGTCAATTAATGAATATAGCCTCATGATAATCCATCAAGATAAGCAGCAGTTCCTTTTTCAGAAGCAGAAGTAGAGATTTGGAGTGAGAGCATGAGGAAAGACACAGGCACCTCCAGGATGAGCACATGTAGTCCATACAGCAGCCATGGGAGGCACAGGAGGAAGACACACATCCTAGCAGTGACTATTTTAACTCGGTATCTGTTTTGAATCCAGGGGTGGTGAGAATGAGCTTTTCATCTGGGCAAGATTGGTCTAGGTTCTTTGTGGCAGAGCAAAACTAAAACCTGCACTTCTTCCCTTATCCACAGAGATTTGTACTTTCCTGTCAGTTCCTGCCTCCAGATTCCTCCTCCATGGCAATAGTGCTGTGCTGTGGGATGCAGGTCAGTGCAACACAAAGGATCCCTGAGAGGATCCTGTCCTCTGCCCATGCTGCCAAAAGCACATCCTGGCTGCCCTGGCTGAAGACGTGTGGCTGAGTGTGCTGCCACCTCACCCTTGACAGCTTTTGGACATTTTCTATTTTTGGCCATGTGTTCCAGCTCCATTGTACCTTTAACCCAGCACTGAGCTGAAGGATAGTAAAGGATTATCAAGATCTGCCTGTCATAAAGGATGCACTCTGGTACCTGCAGTTGCTTTTATAAAGGGATATGTACATGCTCAGTGACACTGCCTGTGCATCTTTTTTAACAGCAATTTTTTTAGTGCTTGCTTCTCCTCAGTTTAGATAGCTTGGATTTGATATTTTTCCCTTTAGTATTTCCCTTCTGTGTGCTAGCACTGAGTTTACAGCTTCTATTTGTGTCACCATGGTCTTTTACAGTGGGATAGTGGGACCTGAATGTTGGCCTTTGCTCACATATAAATGTATCTGACCATTGTTTAATGAAATTCACCCACATTTGTTCTTTAAAAAATGTCAATCAATACCAATACTAACTAAATTTTAAGATGTAGAATGGCTTGGGTTGGAAGAGACCTTAAAGATCATCTAGTTCCAGCAACCTCTGCTGTGGGCAGGGACACCTTTCACCAGACCTGGCTGCTCAGAGCTCCTGCCAACTTGACCTTGAACACTGCCCGGCATGGGGCATCCACAGCTTCTCTGGGAAACCTATTTCAGTGCCTCACCACCTTCACAGGGAAGAATTTGTTCCCAATGTCCAATTAAAACTTGCTTTCTCTCAGTCTGAGCCCATCTCCCCTCATCCTGTAACCACACCCTCTTGTACATAGTCTCTGTATATCTTTCTTATAGGATCTCTCCAGGTACTGGAAGGCTTCAATTAGGTCACCCTGAAGCCTTCTCTTCCCCAGGCTGAACAACCCCAATTCTGTCAGCCTGTCCTCATAGCAGGGGTGCTCCATCTCTAATAATCTGGGTGCCTCCTCTGAATTCACTCCTCATCCTCAGGTGGCATCTTCCTAGCATCTGACTACTGGTCTTGTGTGAATTTTCTCACATCCAGAGGCATGGGTTTAATTTGTTGTACCGTTATTCATTTATTTATGAATCAAAGAAGAGCAGATGAGAACCATGTCCTACCCCCAGCTGGCAGAAGGCAGTTGAGTGCAGCTGAAATCAACTCAGTTAATTGATAAAACAACAGCTGAGGACCAAGCTGGGTAAACCTCTGTGAGTTCTTACTGGAAAAATGCTCTCAAATTTCTACTTCAGGTTTATATTAAAGCAGCCAAACTTTTCTGAAGCAGTGGAGATAAAGTGGGAGGTTAAGATATTAACCATTACAGTGTTTTTCAGAACCACAGTGCTTCTGCACTTCATCTGGGCTTCTCCCTGACCTGAATTTGGAACTAACTGAGACCTAGTCAGAAACAGATATTGTGGCTGGCTTTACTCTGAGTACTTGTATCCTCAGGGCTAGAGAGCACTGCTACAGTCTGGAGAAGTCAGGAGCCAGATAAGGGGAGAACTATTATCTGAAAATCAGGCAAAGTTGTAGTCTCTGATGTTTGGCCTATGATACAAGGAAAGGCTGTTTGTTCATTTTCCTTTGGTAGAAAAGGAAAGTAGGACTTGGAATTTCAAAGCTGATTAGGCAGCTGAGTAATCAAAGGAAATGTTATTGTGTTTAAGATCCTGGGAATGTAAATATGAAAAAAAGGGTGGACAAAATCATCTTCAGCTGTAAGGAAGAAAGGTTATCCTCGTTGGAGCTTAGCAATGTGCTAAGATAAGTGCCAGGGAGGGTTCAGCTGCTCTTCTCATTACATCCTGGCAGGAAGGCTGGGAAGGGATGTGGTTGTCAGGGGGGCCATGTACAAGAGAGGTCTCTCCTCTCCTCCATGACACAGGAGGAGCCTGCACAGATGGATTCACACACACACCTACACTCTTTAACCTGTCTGTGGCATCAGATCCCAATCTCCCCACAAAGGTGCACTAAAGTTCCTTGCCTGCTCTTTATTTATCCTTGGTTTTGGAGGACCAGCTTCATTTCCCTCTTACTAAGAACTGTTTTGTCCTACAGGGATTTTTTTCTATTCACAAATTCAGAAGTCTCCTTCATTTGTAGCTCATAGCCCAGAAAATCAGTTAATTGTATGAACCTCAACACTTGAATGCTTTTTTAGGAGCCATGATGAACTGAATCTTTTGTCAAACTCTTGCAAGAATCCCCACATTTGAGCTCTGGTCTTTGGGGAGGAAAGGATAGTGAAATGAAATCGTATGTCCCATGTGAGCAACAACTGTTTGGTACATTAGCAATTCTGGGATGTGCGGCAACAGATTTTAGAAACTGCAAAACTTTCTCATGAGATTTCTTTCACAGTAGCTTTTGGAGTGATAGCATAGAATTCTTAGGAGGAGTCATACATTTCATTATTAGCAAAGTAAAAGCAGTATGGCCTTGCTCATTTCTGGAGAGATCAGCTTGACTTTTACATTTGAAAGAGAAGGGTGAATAAAACCCCGGAAGAAGAAATATAAAACAGCAAAGATAAAGATCAAAATTCTGTAAGATTATTGTCTGACAACTCCCATAGAGTCAGAAAGGATGAAAATGCATAAATGCTTATTGGGATTTTTAATGGTTATTTTATAATTAAACAGTCAGACGAGACAGTTAAATTTGAAACAGAACATGCATTATTATGAAAATCAGAAAGCGGGTTGAAAAAAGAGATAAAATATAGCAATTACCCCTTTATGCCAACAAGGTTTCAAACAGAATCCTACCAGAGAGATAATTTTTCAGCAGAAAGATAAGATTTTATTGCTTCCAGGAATTTATTCTAACCCTGAGTACTCTCTTGCTCACACTGTTTTAAATCTACCCCCAGTAGAGACCAGTGCAGTAGAGTGGTTCTCAGCTCTGGAGTTCACCTACCTCTCTGGAGCCTTAAACCCTTCTTTCTGGAGGCTACACAGCAGCAGCAGCTCAGATGATATCAGATCAATGTGGAAACCCTTATGGAGATTTATTTCCTAGTCCTGATCAGTCTGCACATCTGAAGAGCAGCTTGGCCTTAGTCTGCTATGACGTGGTTGTTATATGGGCAGAGGCAAAGGGTAGAACTCAGTTGTTATAATACAGAAGAAAGTTTTTGTGGGAAGAGGAGGGACCCACACAAGAATTCCTACTGCTCTGTTGAGGCTCTTGTGCAGATCAGAGGTTGTCTCAGATTCCCGGATCCCAGACACCTCTGCTGTGCTCCGGTCAGGTGTTTATAGCTCAAAGGGGCTGGCATGGCAAGCAGCCAGCCCCAGTGCTGGTGTTGCAGATACTCTTGACTCATCTGTCTTCTATCAGTCCAAGGGAAACATTTAATGCCTTCCTCATCTGAGATTTTTAGATTATTTTATTAATTTCTCTGTTAAATTGATTTTAGCAGCAGCTGTGTGCACTCAGCATTTGAGTAAATTAGACCCTGGTGTCTGCTGTTTGACTCCTTCCCAGTAAAAAGAGGAGCTCATAGAACAATGCCTTCTGAAGTGGCTTTGTCCAGGATTACATGAAATCTACAGCACAGGGAAGTGGAAAAATCCAGTTCTTCAGTTCTGTGTGTCATCCTATTGAAACTGTCTTTCTGTTGCAGGAAGCAAAGGAGGTTCTCACAAAAAGCCCAACAAATTATTCTCCTGTATGGATTTGTCTCAAATCAAGGACACAGAAGCAAAATAATTCATGATAAGGTATTTAAATATGGTTTTGTAATGCTTATACACAAATCATCATTCCCAGGGCCATATTGACTGTGATGTTTCCTTATTTCTAAGTGCTTTACTTTGTACCCTCAAGCATTCATCACTTTGCATTAAAGTTATTTCTGTGCAGACCAGGAAGGGAGAAAGTTATTCTGGTTTAATTGCTTCTTACCGTAAGGACTGATAGGTATAAACCATATCAAGGAAAGTTTGTGTCTACCAGAAGTCTATAGGTGGTTCAGGTCATAGACTTTTTGGGCTTAGGACTCCAGTGTTGCACATCATGTATAGACATTAATGTTCAAGCAAAATAAACATCAGCTGTACAGAAGGTTATATTGATATATAAGAAATTAGTGTGTTTTCATTCTTATTTAGAAACATGAATGCTAAGTGTCTTTGATCTTGGTTTCCAGTTTTACTTTTTCTGTCTGCTTGTCCTATCATGAGCTTCTGTTAATACATGACATTATGTACTTTTGAGAGGATTCTACTTTATAAAAATAGATCTATAAAAATGTACATAGGGATGCAATTCAATATAGAAAAGATAAAAAGCACAGTTTCACCCTTCTGTAAGGCTAAATTTCAGGATGTATAAGAGAGATGATTTAGCTGCACTGCTTTCTATAGAAAATGCCAACAAATACTGCAACAGTTCTGTGAAAGCAACCCTTCATCCTGGCTTGAAGGTGGACACAATTGAGTGATGTTTTCCTGACCTCATGTGCGTGATGCCAAAGACACTGGACAGCTTTTAGAGCCAGCAGCATGCCTTATGTCAGTACTTTTGGTTAGGCTGTCCCAGGTGTAACCTCTCGGTGCACATTGCAGACTCTCGGGTCACCATAAGCTGAATGCCCCTGCCCAAGTTTCTGAATATCTGAAAGAGGGAGAGGTGGAACATTCATAGCTGTATTCATGGCCAGTGATATGAATGAGGAATTAACAGGCCATGGCAGGTATATTTACCATGCTGAACTATATACCTCCTTTGTGAGAACAACCTCCTTACAGGGCATGAGGTTTCTTCTTCTCACAAGTCTTCATCCTTTTCCCTTGCTTCTTTTTTTTTAATTATTTTTTTTAATTTTTAAATTTTTTTTTTAGGAAGAGAAATTACAAAAGTGAAGCTTTCTCTGGCAACCATTTACAGCAAGAGAAAAGAGAAATGCCATTTGCTGGTTATGTAAGGACCATATCCCATCCCCATGTCTCCAGTCTCCTGACCATCCTGATGGCCTTCTGTTCAACCTGTTGCTCTTTGTCAGTGTCTGGGGAGCCCAAACAGGGTTTCTTCCATTTAGTGTCATCTACCAGCTTGCAATGAATACATTCCCTCTCCCCAACTGGGCTCTTTTAGAAGAGACAAAACCACATCAACTTCAGCATCACACCCTGGAAACACTATTTGTGACCAGAGGTTTGCATAAACCTCACCCTTTTTACTGAGCTGATCATTCTCCAGTGAATTTCCAGTGAATTTCCAGTGCTGATGCCTTGCTTACATCACTAATCATCCAAGTTCTCTTTTCAGGGAAACAAATTACACTTCCCAAAGTGAAATTTCCAAAGTCACAATCACCCCCTGGAGAGAGTCACAGCTCACTCCAGTGAGTTGATCATCTGAATCTTTCACATTTTCATTACTGCATATTTCTTAATGAAAACTTTAATAAAATCTCCAAAATCTAATAGCAGTGTACAAAAAGGATGAAATTTCCAATCTGGGAGAAAGCAGCCTTATTTTAATCCTGGCAGCAAATATTAAAAATGGAATTAAATGCAAAAGAAAGAAAAACTAAGAAAATGTGATTATATGTACCCAATAGGCCTAGAATCCATATAATATTTCCAACTACTTTTTGTTATACCTCTCTGGTGAAGGGCACACTAGATTGTGAGTGTACTTTGTAAACAGCTTGGCCAAAGGGCATCTGTTATTTATTTCTACTAAAATGCTACTTGCAGGGTAAGAATTTAAGTAATGACAAACACAGCAATAAAAAAAATTGTAAATCAATTTATATACTGACTTATTGCAGACATAAACTCTCTCTTTGGAGACAAAAAATATTTTCAGTATACCATTGACCTATGTCAGAGCTTTTAGAAAATAAAACTGTCCAGAGCTGATTTATTTTGCTTTATTCAAAACTTGTTATTTGGTATCAAATGAGATCTCAGACTTAAACCATACTTATTCATTCCCTGAACCTTCTCACATATATACCTGCTACTTACACCTTTACTGCAGAGAGGAACTCTCCACTTCAATGTTCTAAATTAATTTTTCCAGCACAGACAATATCACACAACATTCAAATTTGTGTTCCAATGATTTAACAAGGACGTGAGCAATGGCCAGTGGCAGTTTGTGACCTAAGCAGATGAGATTGTCAGAACAAAATAAATGAGATTTGTGGTAGTTTGTTTGTTTTTTTATTTAAAAAAAAAATATTATTTTGCTACTGCAGGTAAGAAAATTGTAAGACAGGAGATCTACTTTGGAAAACTATTGCAGCTGCAGGCAAGAAAATATCAGTGCAGCAAAAATATACTGCAGATTTCTTTCCCAAAGTCCTGTTCTGCTTCCAGTGCTAGTTTCACAGATCTCCAAATTACACCTTAGAAAAGAGAGAGAAAAAAGTTTTAAAAAATGGTACAATCACAGAAATAACACTACTTAAATAAAACTCTATTCATCTATTATTTTAAGATCTACTTTACTATTTCATAATACCCAAATTCAAATAGATTGAAATACTTATGAAATATTTGGATCAAATAGCCCTGGAAAACTTCAGCTAGTAATTAAAAAAAAAAAAAAATAAAAGAGGGGACAACTACGGGGGTAAAAAATAAGGAAGAAATTATCCCTGTTTTGAAATTTCCACGTCTGGAAGAAGTCACATCATCTGACTGCAGGCACCTGTACCCGGGTGTCTAAGGTAGAACATCTTTGCCTGGAGCTGAAAAGGTCTATAAAGATGATTGGACAATAGAGATATTTTGGGCTATAGTTCTTCATTGCCTGTGGGAATAGATGACTCTTCTCTCTTTGTGTATAGAGCCTGAAGGCAGGAAGATTTCCTAGAGTGGACAACTGAATTTGATGCCCAGTGTGAGGAGTTTGAATACACTTATTTGTATGGATGAAGCTCAGCTGACCTACTGTAAACTTCTACACATGACCTGGTTATCTCTAGTGCTTGCACAGGCAGTGAGAGAAACACAGTACCACACACCTCACACAAAAAGGAGGAGTTTGAAAGTGAACACAGAAGTTTAGCTTCAAAAATACCATGTCTCTCCACTGACTGAATCAGGAATTTTAGTTATTTTTAAATCTGATTTTTATATATTTTATGGTCAGCATAAGTTTAGCATAAGCTAAAGTTAAGTGGTGTACACAGCTGAAGTCCATCCTACATATCCAGAATTAAACTACCCACCTAATTTTATCAAACTTTTATTAGCTGGTTTTCAGGCAAGTTCCAATGTTATCAGAAACATAATTTTACAAAGTGTTGTTTATTAACTGTGATCTTTTCACTGTTGAACAAAATATTTACTAAACAACATGAGTTAACATTTTCTACTTACATTTTGAGAAAAAGACTTGGAAACTGCAAGTCTGTTAGTCTGAACAATAAATATTAACCTTGTTTTAAATAATTATATATAAGACCTAAAAATCTTCCAGGCTAATTTTGAAAATAACTCTGTAACAACTCTTTTGATCTGCCCAAACAGAAACTGAATAATGACTTATATAATCCACAGAATCTGTTAAAGTAAAATTTCCAAATTTGGATACCTAAAGGGAGGTCTAACATCTGCTTTCCAATAACTAAATGATTTATTGATGTACTTAACAAATTCAGTTTATTAAACATGATCCATCTGCATAAACACAGGGATACATGCTATCAAAGTCTCCGAGTGACCCTAACTCCTATGCCACAAGGTTTGTGAGGAACCCTCTGTCCCAGCTGGACACTGGGAATCAAACACCTCTGTCCCAGGCTGGGAAGTGACCCTGGTCTACAGACAGAACTCAGAACAGAGAAGGGTTTTCTCTTGGAAATCAAGTCCCTCGCTGTTGATGCCATTCTGTAAGCAAACAAATCAGAGAAGTTTAACCTCAGCTATTGGAGTAGTGCCCTTAATGGAGTAATGCCTTAATGTAAGGCACTTTGGAGCTCTGTGTGGTCTCTTATACTAATGGAGATTGCTGGTCACATTTAATGTCTTTAGTAAAACATCCAGTCTCTGTGGGATTGCAATTATGCATAAAGAGGCCAGAGAATGAACAAACAGATCTCACTGCAGGCAAGTGAGATCAGCTTGAGTTTGTTAAAGGTAATGGGCAAAGGGGCTGCAAGTACAACAATGTGCTGTGCTCTGCTATCAGGAATATCTCATTCAGCTGTGTTATCTCTCACCACACAGGGTACCCAGACCCCACAGGTGCCAATATCTGTCAGTCAGAACAGCACCTTTGCTGGTCTCTGCAGGGATATTTGGATTCTTGAAGGAAAACACTGAATAAGCCCAGAGAGTGCAATATGCTCTGGATAGAGCTGGCAATGTCCCTGCAGCAGTCCTAGTGCAGATGTGACATTCATGTGTACAAAAAATGAGCAGTCTCACCTGCCCTTAGTGTGTCAGGCTTAGTGGTCACAAACTGCAGCAGATTTCACCAAAATAAAGGGCAGAACCCTAAGGCTCACCCTGTCCTTAGTTAGTCAAAACCATGGCTCTGAGTAGCACTCAGGCCTGTAGACTCTGCTTGCTCCTGCACTCAAAATATTCATCAAAGACCTTTTAAAATGTTGTTATTGGTATTTCCTTTATCCACTACACTAATGACATACAAAAAACTCCAAGGGAGTCGGGCATTATAACTTTCTTCTGCAAGGATCGGGCTGGATGATCCCTCTCCTGAGATACCCTCCAGACATTTTTTATTCTGGCTG